TGACCCAATTTACGACGGTAATATGGATTTTTCCCCCCTGCTCATGTTGCATGTTATGTTGCTGAACATGTGGTGTTATATGTTGGTGCACATGTGGTGTAGCACGCTATGTGTTGTTGAACATGTGGTGTTATATGTTGGTGCACATGTGGTGTAGCACGCTATGTGTTGTTGAACATGTGGTTCGTGTTGAGCCACGATTTGTGTTCGAACCACAACGCTGTAAATGCTTCACCCACGTACTACAAATACAAATAATCGCCAACAGAACCTAAACACCTAACCTAACCTATGCCAAAATAGTATTTCAAATTCATTGTGTCGGGGGACAGGAAGCCAGAGTGTATACATACACGTTTTGGCTTTCATCGAGCCCCCCCCCAACTCCCCAAGGCCGATTACTGACCCCGCCCAGGATGGAGCCCCACATCAAGCTGACTGACTATTGAGTACCTACTTACTGCTAGGTAAACGGAAGCATTAGGTGAAAGTAAATGCATCAACACAGGAAAATAAACACGAGCAGACAAATACAAACGTACATAACCATAACATGTTATCTTGAGGTTATCTTGAGATGATTTCGGGGCTTTAGTGTCCGCGCGGCCCGGTCCTCGACCAGGCCTCCACCCCCAGGAAGCAGCCCGTGACAGCTGACTAACACCCAGGTACCTATTTTACTGCTAGGTAACAGGGGGCATAGGATGAAAGAATCTCTGCCCATTGTTTCTCGCCGGTGCCCGGGATCAAACCCGGGACCACAGGCTCACAAGTCCAGTGTGCTGTCCACTCGGCTCCCCGCCACGTGTCACATAACATGAGAATAGGACAAGTACAGAGACCCAAAAGTAAAGTAAGACACCCGCACAGGCCAGACGAGCCCACAGCGAACACCTCTACACGTATTTACCTGGAAACAATTTTCTAGGAAACCGGAGGCAGTACGCCTCCCAGCGCAGCCACAGCTCAGGATGCTCATTACGACGACAGCGCTGATAAGGAGGCGCCATAATTTCCGGAACCTCGGACAGAGAGACTCGTAGTCGGGGGACCCGAATAATATCAGGCCGAACGGGAAGCGGCGCCACCCGCTCCCACATGACGGGAAGTCAGATCATCAACAGGCCGCAGACCAGCACGAGGCACGGCACCCGTCGAGGGGACACCCGCACCCCACGGCGGACCTCCTTCAAGACTACCACAAGGCCTCTGCTCGCACCAGCTTCCTCACCATCCTTCACAGGAGGCGGGACCTCCCCCACTGCAGGAGAAAAAACAGAGGGTAAATCGGAAATATCTCCACCGACAGCAGCAGCAGGCACATGAACCTCCGCCACCACCTATTGGGGGGTTGGTTCGGAGACCCGCAGTCGTCAAAGTCACCCACGTCGGCCCAGGCAGAAGTAGAACGTCGCGAACGCTTGGGATCCGGCTGCACGTCGTCAGAGCGGGAAGCGGAACCAGAAGCTTGGAGAACACAGGGCGGGCGCACCTGCGCACGACGCAAGACGGCAGAAGCGTCAACGGCACGGGGAACTGGCCCCACACCCACTCCACCACCCAGCACGACCGGGACAAGCGGCGGGGACGTAGAGACAGGAGCCACAGGAGAAGGCAGAGGGTCAGACGCAGGAGACGGAGAAGCAGAAGACGGAGCATTCTGGAGACCCACAGACGCACCAGGAACGCAATCCGGAACAGTACCCCCAACCGAGGGCGACACAACCCCCGGAGTAGAAGCCCCACCAACAGCAGACGCACCGTCCGACACCGGACGCGACACAGCAGCCACAGGGGTCGTCCACAACCACACCCACCGAATCCTCCTCCACAACTAGTGGCGGGAAATCGTCCTCACGAAAAAATTTCAACGACGCAACGACATCCGCCGAGCACCCAGCACTCGTGTGTGGCCCAACAAACTACAGCTGCATCCCCAGTGGGCGAATATTGGTCCGAACACCCTTAAGTTTCCTAGAGGAAAGCATATGCAATCTGATACTCACGACATTGCCATACCGCCCGAAATACCTCCGCAGCAGCTCCTCCAGGAACTGGAGAGGGCGGACCATGTACACTATTGAAGGTAAGGGCACCACTTCGGTCGGAGACAAGGACTGAACCAGCAGCGTCCGGCAGCGGAAAAGACCGCCCCTCGTAACGGCGCTAAAATGCTCAGTAATTTACTTCTGCAGCAAACTTCAATATAGCACGATGGGAAGACACCAACTCCACCCCATAGATCGCAGCCACATCAACACGCAGCATGTCACACATCACCAGCCCCACCGCCGGATAATCAGCCCTGCCGGTAAACTCCAGACCCACCGAGTGAGCCCACAAAACGGGAGGAGGTCACTCCCCCCATCACTCAGGCCACGTCAGCACACCACCTGCGGTCCGCCCACCACCGCGGGCAATCAGCAACTGGCTTAATATTAACTTGGTGGTTGTGGGAGTTGATAGTTTGCCTTGGTGTGTGTGTTTTAGTGCTGCTATGGGTACCGGAGTGCACATTCCTAACCAGGCTGGATGTCTTGAGTTAAATATATAAAGAAATCAACATAGAGCCAAGTAATAACTATAAATTAATCTGAGTTCAATAAGGCATTTAGTTTATTCAGTGTAAGGTACAAGAATCAGCCTCTCACTAACTACGTGCCACACAAATGAGGCCATAACCACGATTGCCAGGAAGACAATGATTCTTAGATCAAGTGAAGCGCTACCAACAGTTTAACAAGATAAATTAAGTAATGATTTGTGTCGATGATCTTCCTGGTATGGAGACGACTTTATATATTTCCAATGATTACTTTGAGAGCAGACTCGTGTGGTTTCTTTAGGTCCGTTCCGTATAGCAAGGGGTCAGACTCATTTATTTAAAACTACAAGAAATTATGAAATCATTTTGCAAAACACAAATGCAAGTCATATGAATATTTAAAGGCGAGCGTCAGGTACGTTATCAAGATATGGTTTCCACTGTGAGAATTTGGGAACTGCAAGTCGCCCTATATGTAAGGCTATGCTCAAGATGCTGCAATGGGGCCTGACAGCTGAGTAGACAGCGCTCGGGATTCGTAGTCCTAAGGTTCCGGGTTCGATCCCCGGTGGAGGCGGAAACAAATGGGCAGAGTTTCATTTTGATGCCCCCCCTGTCTACTTAGCAGTTAATAACTACCTGGGAGTTAGACAGCTGCTACGGGCTGCTTCCTGGGCATGTGTAACAAAAAGGAGGCCTGGTCGAGGACCGGGCCGCAGGGACGTTAAACCCCGAAGTCATCTCAAGATAACCTAAAGATAGGTACCGGAGTAATACACTTCTATATGTTGGCAAAAGTGTAGGTGTTTACAAGTGTGTGTGTGTGTGTGTGTGTGTGTGTGTGTGTGTGTGTGTGTGTGTGTGTGTGTGTGTGTGTGTGTGTGTGTGTGTGTGTGTGTGTGTGTGTGTGTGTGTTGTCGTGAGAGGAGTACTGAACTCACCGAAGGACACCTGGCTGAGATTACACACCTGACACACCGCTGTATCATGTGGGAAGCAGCGCTGTGCAGCCCAGCAGGAAAAATTAGCTCTGCACCTTCACTATCAACACTCTCATGCCTGATAGTGAAGCCCAACAACCACCTTACGTCAGGCTCTTCCTGACGGCCGGGAGCCGGTCGGCCGAGCGGACAGCACACTGGACATGTGATCCTGTGGTCCCGGGTTCGATCCCGGGTGCCGGTGAGAAACGATGGGCAGAGTTTCTTTCACCCTATGCCCCTGTTACCTAGCAGTAAATAGGTACCTGGGAGTTAGTCAGCTGTCACGGGCTGCTTCCTGGGGGTGGAGGCCTGGTCGAGGACAGAGCCGCGGGGACACTAAAGCCCCGAAATCAACTCAAGATAACCTCAAGATAGATAACGGCACTTGAGCCAACGCAGACAGCGGTAATCTGTGTCAGAACTGTAACACATTATGTATATGTATATAAATAATATACATATAATATCATAATTTATCAGCATGACGTTTTTTTTACAAAACAGTACAATGACGTCGCCGGTATAAGTACCACGTATTCATTATTTACAGTACTTATAAAACAAACTAGCATCTACACATCATATTCTGAACCTGAATCTAATTTAAGGTAATACTTAATCCTACCAAACACCTTCAATCCTAAGAAACCTATTAGAGAGTCTTAACTTACAGCGATATCTGATTGGCTGAGAGCTAGCTCAGTCAGAGATCTCTCCCATTGGCTGGATAAGCCTTTCACTAAGCATTGCGCTCTCATAATCAAAAATGGGTTTAAATTACCTCTTGACCCAGTCCCGGTATTCGACCATCTGCTAGAATACCGGTAGGTAGAATTATCTACCGTTCTTAGGTGTCAGTGAGGATCGAATACACAATGAAATCACCACAACGTGATCCAGCTATAAATGAATCTTTATAGGCAGAGCTGAAGGATCGAACCAGCATCCAGGATTACCCCCCTAGACACGCGCCGTAACCCATCAACCATGACGTGGAAAAGTTTGACTGACTAGAGCAAGCTCGAGCTCAAAAGCACAGAGCAGACGTCTATGTAATTGTATACGTAAAACTCTCAAACACCCGCCTGAAGGTATTGGACTTCTCCACCAAACGCTCCAGGCATATACCCTATTATATAACATGAACGTAATATATCTACGTCTATGTAATATAATAAAGGCAGACGTCAATGAAGACGCTGCTGGCAACAAGAACAGTTTGTCTTTGCCTCAGCGAATCAATCGAGCTGATTTAACTTTGAACAAGAGTGCGGACCGGGGGCTTTGTCTGACTCAAACTTCCTAACATTTCAGCAAATTCGTCAGCAAAAGTTATTCGCTATTTCTTATTTAAAACTACTAAAATTCCATTATGTAAATAATTTTTCTAAACCTTAATACCAACGTGATGCATATTTATAGCAAGCGTCAGTTCATTATCAAGATATGGTTTCCACGGTGAGAATTAAGGGACAGATGTTTACCAAGATTGTCTAGTCTAGGAGCAGAAGCGATGGCAGGTGGACGCAGTTTCCAACACCTGCAGAAGGTGGCTCTAGAAGCTCTCTCAAACATCACTATAGAACCCATATTGTTTCTTCATTATACCGCATATTATACACAATTGGTAATTAGAGACAACCTGAAGTTAGAGCGGTTCTGTCGTGTGACGCTGAAGTATCCGGCCGAGGAGTGCGCCCAGATGAACGACGGACACCACACAGACTTGCAAGTGAAGGTCCAGAAGCTGGACAGTGTCTTCACTTTTTACGAGAAATTAGCGGGCACAATCATCCCAATCTTGCTGCTATCCTTTATCGCCTCCTGGAGCGACAAGCGAGGACGTCGTGTCCCCATACTTCTATCATTACTTGGAGAAGTATTATATAGCATCATCTACCTCCTGGAGGCTTTCTTCACGTCCTGGTCACCGTACGTTCTCCTGCTGGCATACTTCATTGAGAGTATCGGTGGAGGTTTAAGGATGTTCACTATGGCTTCCTATAGTTACATGGCAGACAACACCAGCCGGCAGTCCAGAACTGCTCGCATGACCATCATGAATATTTTTTGGCATCTTGGGTGTTCAATTGGCACTGTTATGGGGGCCTGGTTCTTTGACATTGGAGGATACGTTCCAGTCTTCAGTACGTCTCTCCTTTTCTACAGTATCGCACTTGTTGTGGCCTTTTTCATAGTCAAAGATAAACAACTTGAAAAGAACGAGACGGAGAATGACACAGAGATGGAGACAAGTCCCTGGAACCCAAAGAATGTCATCAGTTTATTACGTGTTGCCACCAGGAAGAGACCTGGCCGGACGCGGCTGCATCTTCTGCTTCTGTTGGTGTTCATGCTTTGCTACATCAGCTCCGTGCCTCACAACATGTACCTGTGGACCCGAATAGTGTTCCAGTGGGACCAGGACCAGTACAGTCTGTACTACACCGCCAGCATGATCACTGAAATTTTGGTCATGCTGATAGCTACGCTCATTTTGCAAAGATACACTATTCACGACTGTGTGATTGGCGCAGGAACAGCTCTTCTGATTTTCTTGAAAGACTTGAGTTTTGGACTAGTTGGTGCCGCTAGCCAGTGGTGGGTTGTGTTAATCTTCCTCGTTGTGCCATCAATACTTCCCCCCGTAGCTATCAGGAGTCAGATAACTAAGGTGAGAACAACGGAGATTTGACATAGTATAAGTGCAACATATCAAACCCTCAATCCAACTACGAACAACCAGTTGGATATAATTCAGTACCTCGTACTTATTTATATGTCTAGCAGACGTCTAACCTTGTCCATCAAATGTAAATATACTGGTTAGCATTGTAAATGTGTGGCCACGTCTGTGGTAGAAAGAAAACCTCATACTACACCTACTTCTCCAGTCGACACACAAGGGTAACACCCCGACTTTACCTCATCCTGCAGGGTTTACATAATGTGTAATATCCTTCAATGCACCAACTTTCCTTGTGCTCTAGTTAAAGGTTTAAGACAACTTCAATCAAGTGTTTCCTTCAGAGTCAGTAAAGTTGTAAAATGAAAATTGGAGACTTAATTTTTCAACTTCTTTCTTCTTATGTGAAGAACCTAAGAAATATACGAAGGATTCCTGATATAATCATTTATCTAACCCTTTCTAAAACAATGTCTAAACATCTAAAAACAAGCACGGTCTTCAAAATTATTATAATATACATATCTTAGTAATTTATACATATATAATACATTAGCGGGATACTAGACATAAAGTTCTTAAAGCATTTTTTCTTCCCCATAGCTGTGTGACGATACAGAAGTGGGAAGATACTTCTCATTGATGGCCATCCTCGAGGTGTTATGGCCCGTAGTGGACGGAGCCATCTACTCAGCCGTCTACACCTACACTATCGCCTTCTATCCTTCTTACGAACACCTCGTTGCGGCCGCCTTCGCCCTTTGTCTTCTGAGCGGTCTCCTGGGCCTCAGGTTATACGTGGACAGTGCTAAAGGGCGGCCTCCACCACCTGTCTTGCCCGAGGGCCGGCTGGGTACGAAGGGTCTGGCCACAGAAACTTACCCATCCCGATCGGTCCAGCTGGATGGAGTCCAAGCCAATCATTCCAACCGTTCCAGTTGGAGTTCCACTCCACCATCTTGACCGGCTCTAGCCCACGTGCTAGAGCCGGTCAAGCTCAGCTCTAGCTTCAAATGCCCACTTGGGGACATTCACCCCGAAAGATATTAGTATATAGGTAAGACAACATCGTCTCTCTCTCTCTAGGCTATTAACAATGCATCTTCATGATCCAGATGGTTCAACCATCTGGGGTTTCAGTGCAACAGAGATGAGTTGTTCAATTTAAACCCTGTTAGTAAACTTAGTGAACTGGCGTAGGAATACCCCCCCCCCCTCCAACCTTGTGGTGAGGAGAGGGAGGACAAGGTAGTGTGGACAAGGTCAACGACTCCAGAAGGTGACCCACTCTCCACCTCTCCCAGAGACCAGCACTACATCAGCTGGTCACCATAAGATGTATACTTGCTATACTTTGGTATAGGGAATTAGTTCATCTCATAGCCTTAAGCCAGGTAGTGTTAATGATAGGGAGTGTTTTGATTTAAAATATTGTTTTAGATTTTGAATAAATTATTTAGTTAGTAATTTGCATTTTTATTATTTCCATTTTTATGTTCCATCTTGTTCATTGTTCTTGACACGTGGTTCCCACGAGTCTGAGTTTTGGTTGGGCCGCAAAACCTAACATAGATTAAGAGTTCAGTTATCCCTTTGTTTGTTATTATTACCCACACTTAACGTAGATTCTTCCCTCCTATTCCAAATAACTGGGGGATCAAGCCCCAAGGTATATTGAGAGCATAATCGGTCCAGACCTCGGTTATTGCTCCCAGTGTTAATGGTCTGGTGGTGGCGGCTTAAGGAGATTCTAGAGTTTGCTAGGGGGTCTGGTTCCAGGTCATGAAGGCTGTAGAATCTTAGCCGGTCAGCGGCTTAAGACCACGTGGCGAAGGAGACCTGGAGACGTAGTCAAGGAAAGGGCCCGCGGGGGACGCTAAACCCCGAAGTCATCTCAAGATAACCTCAAGATAGGTACTGGAATAATACGCTTCTCTATGTGGGCAGAAGTGTAAGTGTTTACAAGTGTGTGTATGTATGTGTGTGTGTGTGTGTGTGTGTGTGTGTGTGTGTGTGTGTGTGTGTGTGTGTGTGTGTATGTGTGTGTTGTGTGTGTGTGTGTGTGTGTGTGTGTGTGTGTGTGTGTGTGTGTGTGTATGTGTGTGTGTGTGTGGTGTGTGTGTGTGTGTGTGTGTGTGTGTGTGTGTGTGTGTGTGTGTGTGTGTGTGTGTGTGTGTGTGTGTGTGTGTGTGTGTATGTGTGTGTGTGATAGTGTGTGTGTGTGTGTGTGTGTGTGTGTGTGTGTGTGTGTGTGTGTGTGTGTGTGTGTGTGTGTGTGTGTGTGTGTGTGTGTGTGTGTGTGTGTGTGTGTGTGTGTGTGTGTGTGTGTGTGTGTGTGTGTGTGTGTGTGTGTGTGTGTGGTGTGTGTGTGTGTGTGTGTGTGTGTATGTATGTGTGTGTGTGTGTGTGTGTGTGTGTGTGTATGTATGTGTGTGTGTGTAGTCGTGAGAGGAGTACTGAACTCACCGAAGGACACCTGGCTGAGATTACACACCGCTGTGTCGTGTGGGAAGCAGCGCTGAGCAGTCCAGCTGGAAAAATTAGCTCTGCACCTTCACTATCAACATTTTCACATCTGATAGTGAAGCCCAGCAACCACCTTACGTCAGGCTCTTCCTGACGGCACTTGAGCCAACGCAGACAGCTACTATCTGTGTCAGAACTGTAGCACATTATGTATATGTATATAAATAATATACATATAATATAATTTATCAGCATGACGATTTATTTACACAACAGTACAATGACGTCGCTGGTATAAGTGCTATGTATTCATTATTTACAGTACTCACAAAATAAACTAGCATCTACACATGATATTATGAACCTGAATCTAATTTCAGGTTGTACTTAATCTTACCAAACACCTTCAATCCTAACAGACCTATTAGAGAGTATTAACTTACAACGATATCTGATTGGCTGAGAGCCAGCTCAGCCTATCAGGAGGCTGTTTGTGACGTAACGTAGCGTCACAGATCATTCCTATTGGCTGGCTAAGCCTTTCACTAAGCATTGCGCTCTCATAATCAAAAATGGGTTTAAATTACCTCTTGACCCAGTCCCGGTATTCGACCACCTGATAGAATACCGGTAGGTAGAATAATCTACCGTTCTTAGGTGTTAGTGAGGATCGAATACACAATGAAATCACCACAACGTGATCCAGCTATAAATGAATCTTTATAGGCAGAGCTGAGGGATCGAACCAGGATCCACGATCACCCCTCTAGACACGCGCCGTAACCCATCAACCATGACGTGGAAAAGTTTGACTGACTAGAGCACGCTCGATCTCAGAAGCACAGAGCAGACGTCTATGTAATTGTGTACGTGTAACTCTCAAACACCCGCCTGTAGGTATTGGACTTCTCCACCAAACGCTCCAGGCATATACCCTATTATATAACATGAACGTAATATATCTACGTCTATGTAATATAATAAAGGCAGACGTCAATGAAAACGCTTCTGGCAACGAGAACAGTTTGTCTTTGCCTCAGCGAATCAGTCGAGCTGATTTAACTTTGAACAAGAGTGCGGACCGGTGGCTTTGTCTGACCCAAACCGCCTAACATATCAGCAAATTCGTCAGCAAAAGTTATTCGCTATTTCTTATTTAAAACTACTAAAATTCCATTATGTAAATAATTTTTCTAAACCATAATACCAACGTGATGCATATTCATAGCGAGCGTCAGTTCATTATCATGATATGGTTTCCACGGTGAGAATTAGGGGACAGACAGATGTTTACCAAGATTGTCTAGTCTAGGAGCAGGAGCCATGGCAGGTGGACGCAGTTTCCAACACCTGCAGAAGGTGGCTCTAGATGCTCTCTCAAACATCACTATAGAACCCATATTGTTTCTACATTATACCGCATGGTATACACAATTGGTAATTAGAGACAACCTGAAGTTAGAGCGGTTCTGTCGTGTGACGCTGAAGTATCCGGCCGAGGAGTGCGCCCAGATGAACGACGGACACCACACAGACTTGCAAGTGAAGGCCCAGCAGCTGGACAGTGTCTTCACTTTTTACGAAAAGTTAGCGAGCACAATCATCCCGATCTTGCTGCTATCCTTCATCGCCTCCTGGAGCGACAAACGAGGACGTCGTGTCCCCATACTTCTATCATTACTTGGAGAAGTATTATATAGCATCATCTACCTCCTGGAGGCTTTCTTCACGTCCTGGTCACCGTACGTTCTCCTGCTGGCATACTTCATTGAGAGTATCGGTGGAGGTTTAATTATGTTCGCTATGGCTTCCTATAGTTACATGGCAGACAACACCAGCCGGCAGTCCAGAACTGCTCGTATGACCATCATGAATATTTTTTGGCATCTTGGGTGTTCAATTGGCACTGTTATGGGGGCCTGGATCTTTGACATTGGAGGATACGTTCCAGTCTTCAGTACGTCTCTCCTTTTCTACAGTATCGCACTTGTTGTGGCCTTTTTTATAGTCAAAGATAAACAACTTGAAAAGAACGAGACGGAGAATGACACAGAGATGGAGACAAGTCCCTGGAACCCAAAGAATGTCATCAGTTTATTTCGAGTTGCCACCAAGACAAGACCTGGCCGGACGCGGCTGCATCTTCTGCTTCTGTTGGTGTTCATGCTTTGCTACATCAGCTCCGTTCCCCACAACATGTACCTGTGGACCCGCAGAGTGTTCCAGTGGGACCAGGACCAGTACAGTCTCTACTACACCGCCAGCATGATCGTTGAAGTTTTAGTCATGCTGATAGTTACGCTCATTTTTCAAAGATACACTATTCACGACTGTGTGTTTGGTGCAGGAATAGCTCTTCTGCTTTTCTTGGAAGACTTGAGTTTTGGACTAGTTGGTGCCGCCAGCCAGTGGTGGGTTGTGTTAGTCTTCCTCGTTGTGCCATCCATACTTCCCTCCGTAGCTATCAGGAGTCAGATAACTAAGGTGAGAACAACGGAAATTTGACATAGCATAAGTACAACTTATTAAACACTCAATCCAACTACGAACAACCAGTTGGATATAGTTCAGTACCTCGTACTTATCTATATGTTTAACAGATGTCTAACCTTGTCCATGGAGGACAGAAGCAAAGGTAAATATGACGGTTAGCTTTGTAAATGTGTGGCCACGTCTGTGGTAGAAAGAAACCCTCATACTACACCTACTTCTCCAGTCGACACACAAGGGTAACACCCCGACTTTACCTCATCCTGCAGGGTTTACATAATGTGTAATATCCTTCAATGCATCAACTTTCCTTATGCTTCAGTTAAAGGTTTAAGACAACTTCAATCAAGTGTTTCCTTCAGAGTCAGTAAAGTTGTAAAATGAAAATTGCTGAGTTAATTTTTCAACTTCTTTCTTCTTATGTGAAGAACCTAAGAAATACATGAAGGATTCATGATAGAATCATTCATCTAATAACCCTTTTTAAACAATGTCTAAATGTCTAAAAACAAAGACTGTCTACAAAAATATTATAATATACATATTTTAGTAATTTATACACACACACACACACATATATATATATATATATATATATATATATATATATATATATATATATATATATATATATGTATATATATATATATATATATATATATATATATATATGTATATATGTATATGTCGTACCTAGTAGCCAGAACGTCCTTTTCAGCCTACTATGCAAGGCCCGATTTGCCTAATAAGCCAAGTTTTCCTGAAATAATATATTTTCTCTAATTTTTTTCTTATGAAATGATAAAGCTACCCATTTCATTATGTATGAGATCAATTTTTTTTATTGGAGTTAAAATTAACTTGGATATATAACCAAACCTAGCTAACCCTACCTAACCTAACCTAACCTATCTTTATAGATTAGGTTAGGTTAGGTAGCAGAAAAAGTTAGGTTAGGTTAGGTTAGGTAGGTTAGGTAGTCGAAAAACAATTAATTCATGAAAACTTGGCTTATTAGGCAAATTGGGCCTTGCATAGTAGGCTGAGAAGTGCATTCTGGCTACTAGGTACGACATATATATATATATATATATATATATATATATATATATATATATATATATATATATATATATATATATATGTATATATATATATATATATATATATATATATATATATATATATATATATATATATATATATATATATATATATATATAAAATACATTAACGGGATACTAGACTAAAATTTCTTAAAACAATTTTTTTCCATAGTTGTGTGACGATACAGAAGTGGGAAGATACTTCTCATTGCTGGCCATCCTCGAGGTGTTGTGGCCCCTGGCGGACGGAGCCATCTACTCAGCCGTCTACGCCTACACTATCGCCTTCTATCCTTCCTGCGAGCACCTCGTATCGGCCGCCTTCGCCCTTTGTCTTCTGAGCGGTCTCCTGTGCCTCAGGTTATACGTGGACAGTGCTAAAGGGCGGCCGCCACCACCTGTCTTGCCCGAGGGCCGGCTGGGTACGAAGGGTCTGGCCACAGAAACTCACCCATCCCGATCGGTCCAGCTGGATGGAGTCCAAGCCAATCATTCCGACCGTTCCTGTTGGAGTTCCACTCCACCATCTTGAGCAGCTCTAGCTCACGTGCCCACTTGGGGACTGTCACCTCCAAAGATCTCAGTATATAGGCAAGACAACAACTTCTCTCTCTAGGTCATTAACAATGCACAAACAACAGGGCTCCATCAAGGAGCACATAATCTCCTCACACAACCAGACCATCACCAGAGAAATCTTAACAAACAACACTGAAGTAATCGACAGGTACAACGACAACAGAAGACTCGACATCAGCGAGGCGCTACACATCAAAAAGTCAAGACCAACAATCAACAATCAGTTAACACATAATTACATTCTACCCACTTCAAGATCTCGAACCAAAACAGAGACAGTAGAAGCAAGAACATAGGCATTTAATAGCCTACTAAAATCCATTATGCCATTCATCCACTTGTTCATCTCAATCAAGTACTGTACCACCTCACCCCCAGAGCATATAAGCCTTTGCAAAGCATGGAAAATTTTTCTTTGACAATGTAAGGAGTGCCTTGCGAAATGCTTCCCTAGGCGTCAGACCATAATAAATTGTGAAAATGTACTTTGGAGATTTAATTTTTCAGCTTCCCTCGAGAATGAAGAAAAAGATAAGAAATGTTGAGAAGATTTATGCTAGAATCACAAACAATACCCTTTCGGTCATATTCAACAATATGCAATATATGTTTACAAGAAAGACTGCTTCATATATATATATATATATATATATATATATATATATATATATATATATATATATATATATATATATATATATATATATATATATATACATATATATATATAAAATGTCCTCTTGTGGGGACCTTCTGAAAGATCCCAACATTTTTAACAGTAGGGTAAAACTAACCTGTCTCACGACGGTCTAATCCCAGCTTACGTTCACCTCACGATTTTGAGGTAATGTGTCGACATTTACGTCTTCGTCGGATAGGCAGTTCTATGGGTTCATAACCTTATGGGTGAAAAAAGATTCTGTTTCCTGTCTTTCACTGTCTTGTTGAGCTTGAAGACGGCCACACAGCCGCAGCGCACCCGTCACGTCACAAGCAACAATCAATCACCACACACTCCAGGCAGCAACGGTGGAGCTCGGCTGACACAACAGCACACAGTGACTGCTCTAGCTGGATTCAAGTAATAATTAGTGTTGAAACTGTTCCGGCTGACGTGGGGTTCGGTTGTTCCGTCCGGCCACTGTAGTTGTTGTCGACCCATCGAGGTGTGAGGACCTGGGAGTCGCTGCTGACGTGGCTCGTGTTTCTGTTAAGAGGCCCTTGGGGCCGTGACGGTCTGCAATCATGGGTGGGGGGGGGGAGCCTGTGCACCCTGTCACCAGGCAGGCCTCCATTGGCCTGGAGTTCTCTGTGATTGCTTCCTACCATGCTGTGGAGGTGGTGTTGATTGGTATGCTGCGTGCCCCAGTGGAGTCTGTGTGCGGGGTGCAGCTGCTTGCCAGACGGCGGGCGATTGTCACGTTCGGCACCCCAGTGATTTATCAAGATATCGTCACGTGCTATGATGGGCGTTCATTCAATCTTCCTGAAGATGGTTGATCGGTGACCCTCTCTGACCGTTGCGGAGCCACGACGTATGTGGCAGTACATGGGATGCCTTTTGAGTTAGTTCCCTGAGGACCTTCTATGTCGGTACTTTGCCCGGTTTGGGTGAGTCCTACATGTGAGGGTGAATGCCGTCCCTACCGGGAGGTGGATGGGGGTCCCGTGTGGGGCCCGCACTCTCGCCATGCGCCTCCGGGATCCTGTACCGTCCTCCATCATGCTGTTGGGGTTCACGATTCGTGTTTTTCACGCAAGACAACCTCGGACATGTTTCAGGTGCGGCCTACCGAGTCACCTGGCCGCGGGGTGTGAGGAGCGTGGGATCACCCCCTGTTGTCTTCTGGGAGGAGGATTTTTTCCCGTTGTCGGCCCCGGACCTGTCTCCACGTGCCGGACTGTGTGTCGATTCCGTGCCGGCTTCTGCCCCGGTGTTGAGTAGTGATGTGGATGTTGACGTGGGGTTTGGGGCGGCCCCGTCCCCGCCACCGGCTTCCCCGCCTACGAAGTCCCTGCGCCTGCCGCCCCATCTCGGCCGTCCCTGTCTGCTCCTTCCCTGCATGCGGCGTCTCCTGTCCCTTTGGATGTCCACGGCGAGTTGTCTCCTGAGGTGTGTGGTCCGGTGCCCCCAGCCGTGGAGGCTGCAGTTCTCAGGGGCCGGGCTTTGAAGGCGCGCCCGTCGGAAAGTTCTGCTGTGTTACTGGATGATGAGGGTGATAGCTCGGATGACCGGCAGCCTGTGTCCAAGCGCTCGAAGCGGGTCCCGAGTGTGTCTACCCTTCGTGGGGTGCCTTGGGTGGAGGGGGAGAGTACGTTGATCCGGCGTCTCCCGCCAAGGTTGGCAGTGCTGTGGGGGGCTGTGTGCTACCACCGGAGTCGCCCCCTACGCCTACTGCTGTTGGCTCCCCACGGTGGGAGGTCGCTCCTGCCGAGCGGGACCTCGTCGTGGTCTTACGGAAGGATGTGCGCCAGGGTGCCTCTGCTCCTGAGCTTGGTGGCTGGGGCCCTGACGCGTCTGTGTCCTCTGTGGGTCTCCCCTCCAGTGTATAGGCCATTAAAAGCCTCGTGTGCCAGCCAGTACGAAGCCCTGTGCGGTGCCCTGTGTGGCGCCCGAAGCGCCTCCCTGTGCGGATTCCAGTGCGAAACCCCCTAGTGTGGACCTCTTCCCTGTGATCGCGGCCGACGAGAGCGTGGTCCCTCTGTCATAGGTTTTGGACCTCATTTGGGACGACTGGGTGCGTACGGGCCCGTGGTGCTCGTTGACTATTTGGGTACCGAGGTTAAAGGGGTTTCTTTATGGGGTACCTGATTGGATGCCTCGGCCTTGTGCGTCTCCTGGAAGACCGGTGTCCCAAGACGTCCAACTGGTCTGGGAGGCGTACTGCTTGCGCTTCCCAGCACAGGAGTTTCCAGACAAGTATCGATAGTGCCTGTGTTTGATTGTATACTCCCTGTCTGTGGTTTTGTTACCGTGTCTGCGGTTCTGTGTAAGTTTTGTCTACGTGTTAGGTTTCGCCCTGTTGGGCGGTGTGCTTGTGTGTGTGTTCCATCTGCATTTTTTGGTTGTGCTCTAATGGTTGTGTCCTGTGTGTGTTTTGTGTTCTGTTGCTTGTGTTGTTTCTAGGGTTGTTGGGTGTGTGTGTGTGTTTACCGGTTCCTGCGTGTTCCGGTTCTTGTTTTGTTTTGTTTTGCATGTGTGGGGTGTCATTTTTTTATGTTCTTTCCCGGTCCCTGCGTGTCCGGTTATGACTTCTTGTCTGTCATAGCTCTTCGTCCTGCTTGTGTGGCCCTTCGGACTGACTTGTGAAACTAGGTTTGCATTTGTTATTTTGTACCATGTCATTTCTGTTTTTTTTCATGTGTCCTGTTGTATGCTTGTTTTGTTTTTCAGTTTTGTGTTAACTTTCTCTGTTGTTCTCATGTTTTCTTTGTGCTTTATGGATCACTGCTTGTGCGGTTTTGTGCTTTATCAATAAAAAGAAAAAAAATAATTAATGTTGATGGTCGTCTACCTGTGGAACGACCTTATATATTTTCAATTATTACTTTGAGAGCAGACTCGTGTGGTTTCTTTAGGTCCGTTCCGTATAGCAAGGGGTCAGACTCATTTATTTAAAACTACAAGAAATTATGTAAATCATTTGCAAAACACAAATGCAAGTCATATGAATATTTATAGCGAGCGTCAGGTAGGTTATCAAGATATGGTTTCCACTGTGAGAATTTGGGAACTGCAAGTCGCCCTATATGTAAGGCTATGCTCAAGATGCTGCTATGGGGCCTGACAGCTGAGTAGACAGCGCTCGGGATTCGTAGTCCTAAGGTTCCGGGTTTGATCCCCGGTGGAGGTAGAAACAAATGGGCAGAGTTTCTTTCATTCTGATGCCTCCTGTTCACCTAGCAGTAATTAGGTATCTGGGAGGTAGAGAGCTGCTACGGGCTGCTTCCAGGAAGTGTGTAACAAAAAAGAGGCCTGGTCAAGGACTGGGCCGCGGGGATGCTAAGCTCCGAAGTCATCTCAAGATAGGTACCGGAGAAATACTCTTCTAAATGTTAGCAGAAGTGTAGGTGTTTACAAGTGTGTGTGTGCGTGTACGCACCTATTTGTGCTTGCGGGGGTTGAGATCTGGCTCTTTGGTCCCGCCTCTCAACTGTCAATCAACTGATGTATAGATTCCTGGGCCTACTGGGCTCTAATCATATCTATATATGAAACTGTGTATGGAGTCAGCTTCCACCACATCACTGCCTAATGCATTCTACCTGTTAACTACTCTGACACTGAAAAAGTTCTTTCTAACGTCCCTGTGGCTCATTTGGGTACTCAGTTTCCACCTGTGTTCCCTTGTTCGCGTACCACCCGTGTTAAACGGTTTACCCTTATCTACCCTCTCAATTCTCCTGAGAATTTTGTAGGTAGTGATCATGTCTTCCCATGCTCTTCTGTCTTCCAGCGTCGTGAGATGAAGTTCCCGCAGTCTTTCCTCGTAACTCATGCCTCTTAGTTCTGGTACTAACCTAGTGGCATACCTATGAACTCTTTCAAGCTTCGTCTTGTGCTTGTGTGTGTGTGTGTGTGTGTGTGTGTGTGTGTGTGTGTGTGTGTGTGTGTATGTGTGTGTGTGTGTGTGTGTAATTACCTAAATGTAGTTACAGGATGAGAGCTATAGGATGTTACAGGATGAGAGTAAGAGAGAAAGAGAGAGAGAGAGAGTGTGTGTGTGTGTGTGTGTGTGTGTGTGTGTGTGTGTGTGTGTGTGTGTGTGTGTGTGTGTGTGTGTGTGTGTGTGTGTGTGTGTGTGTGTGTGTATGTGTGTGTGTGTAGTCGTGAGAGGAGTACTGAACTCACCGAAGGACACCTGGCTGAGATTACACACCTGACACACCGCTGTGTCGTGTGGGAAGCAGCGCTGTGCAGCCCAGCATTAAAAATTAGCTCCGCACCTTCACTATCAACACTCTCACGTCTGATAGTGAAGCCCAGCAACTACCTTACGTCAGGCTCTTCCTGACGGCACTTGAGCCAACACAGACAGCTACAATCTGTGTCAGAACTGTAACACATTATGTATATGTATATAAATAATACACATATAATATCATAATTTATCTGCATGACGATTTATTTACAAAACAGTACAATGACGTCGCCGGTATAAGTACCACGTATTCATTATTTACAGTACATATAAAGCAAACTAGCATCTACACATCATATTCTGAACCTGAACCTAATTTAAGGTAGTACTTAATCCTCCCAAACACCTTCAATCCTGACGGACCTATTAGAGAGAAGTAACTTGCAGCGATATCTGATTGGCTGAGAGCCAGCTCAGCCTATCAGGTGGCTCTTCGTGACGTAACGAAGCGTCACAGATCTCTCCCATAGGCTGGCTAATTCTACCAAATGGTAGAATACCGGAAGGTAGAATAATCTACCCTCATTAGGTGTGAGTGAGGATCGAATACATAATGAAATCACCACAACGTGATCCATCTATAAATGAATCTCTATAGGCAGAGCTGAGGGATCGAACCAGCATCCAAGATCAACCCCCAGACACACGCCGTAACCCATCAACCGTGACATCGAAAAGTTTGACTGACTAGAACACGGTCGAGCTCAGTAGGAGTTCAGAAGCAGAGAACAGACATGTGGTCTAAACAAAAATACCAACATGTTGCACATTTTTAGCGCGAGCGTCAGGTACATTATCAAGATACGGTTTCCACTGTGAGAATTTGTTGCAGTTGTTTACGAAGATTATCTAGTCTAGGAGCAGGAGCCATGGCAGGTGGACGCAGTTTCCAACGCCTTCAGAAGGTGGCTCTAGATGCTCTCTCAAACATCACTATAGAACCCATAATGTTTCTACAGTATACCGCCTATTATACACAGTTGGTAATTAGAGACAACCTGAAGTTAGAGCGGTTCTGTCGTGTGACGCTGAAGTATCCGGCCGAGGAGTGCGCCCAGATGAACGACGGACACCACACAGACTTGCAAGTGAAGGCCCAGCAGCTGGACAGTGTCTTCACTTTTTACGAGAAGTTAGCGAGCACAATCATCCCGATCTTGCTGCTATCCTTCATCGCCTCCTGGAGCGACAAGCGAGGACGTCGTGTCCCCATACTTCTATCATTACTTGGACAGGTATTGTATAGCATCATCTACCTCCTGGAGGCTTTCTTCACGTCCTGGTCACCGTACGTTCTTCTGCTGGCATACTTCCTTCAGAGCATCGGTGGAGGTTTAATTATGTTCGCTATGGCTTGCTATAGTTACATGGCAGACAACACCAGCCGGCAGTCCAGAACTGCTCGCATGACCATCATGAATATCTTTTGGCATCTTGGGTGTCCAATTGGCACTGTTATGGGGGCCTGGATCTTTGACATTGGAGGATACGTGCCAGTCTTCAGTACGTCTCTCATTTTCTACAGTATGGCACTTGTTGTGGCTTTTTTTATAGTCAAAGATAAACAACTTGAAAAGAACGAGACGGAGAATGACACAGAGATGGAGACAAGTCCCTGGAACCCAAAGAATGTCATCAGTTTATTACGTGTTGCCACCAGGACAAGACCTGGCCGGACGCGGCTGCATCTTCTGCTTCTGTTGGTGTTCATGCTTTGCTACATGAGCTCCGTGCCTCACAACATGTACCTGTGGACCCGCAGAGTGTTCCAGTGGGACCAGAACCAGTACAGTCTCTACTCAACCGCCAGCATGATTGCTGAAGTTTTGGTCATGCTGATAGCTACCCTCATATTCCACAGATACACTATTCACGACTGTGTGATTGGCGCAGGAACAGCTCTTCTGATTTTCTTGGAAGACTTGAGTTTTGGACTAGTTGGTGCCGCCAGCCAGTGGTGGGTTGTGTTAGTCTTCCTCGTTGTGCCATCCATACTTTGCCCCATAACTATCAGGAGCCAGATAACTAAGGTGAGAACAATGGGGATTTGACATAGCATAAGTGCAACATATCAAACACTCAATCCAACTACGAACAACCAGGTTACACTTACGTGTACATTTGTTATCCCCGCACGACCAAGACACATCAGTCACCTTATACTGAACTGTATGTTAACAGATCTCTAACCCTGTTCATGGAGGACAGAAGAAAATGTAAATATGCTGTTTAAATGTCTAAAAACAAGGACTGTCTTCAAAAATATTATATTATACATATCTTAGTAATTTATACATATATAATACATTAACGGAATATTAGACTTAAAGTTCCTAAAACAAAAATTGTGTTGTTTTTTCCATAGTTGTGTGACGATACAGAAGTGGGAAGATACTTCTCATTGCTGGCCATCCTCGAGGTGTTGTGGCCCCTGGCGGACGGAGCCATCTACTCAGCCGTCTATACCTACACCATCGCCTTCTATCCTTCCTGCGAGCACCTCGTATCGGCCGCCTTCACTCTTTGTCTAATGAGCGGTTTCCTGGGCCTCAGGTTATACGTGGACAGTGCTAAAGGGCGGCCTTCACCACCAGTCTTGCCTGAGGGCCGGCTGGGTACGAAGGGTCCGGCCACAGAAACTCACCCATCCCGACCTTTCCAGCAGGAGGTCCCGTCCACCATCTTGACCAGCTCTAGCTCAGGGTGTGATCAGAATAGGGAGAACCCACACATGTTCTAGACGAATGACAAGTGTGTGTGTGTGTGTGTGTGTGTGTGTGTGTGTGTGTGTGTGTGTGTGTGTGTGTGTGTGTGTGTGTGTGTGTGTGTATTAACTATTTGTGCCTGCAGAATCGAGTTATTATCCGACAAAAGTGCTCAAGTTCAGTCACTCATATCAAACAGAGAAAACGAGTCCACGAAGATTATAAGAAAATGTGCACGTATCTTGATGGTAAACTTAACTATACGGATATTTTTTGTTATTACTCTGAGGTTCCAACCCTGGAATGTTGACTGCAAACTATATAAAACACTTATATACATACATATCTGATGCTGGTGTTAATGTTATCTTTGACTGCAATATATATATTAGTGGTTTGCTTAATTTAAACTGTATACCTACGAATCCTTCACTGTATCATTATCTAATGTATAATTATAATTATACATTATAATGTATAATTATGAATTAAGAATAAGTAGGAATGGGTATGTTATTAAAATGTATTAATACTAGACCTACTTTAAACACTGTGACTACTCTTAACACTAGGCCTACTTGTACTATTATTTTAGACTTTAATTACTAGCATTTGGATTTAGCCAAATATGAACAAGTTACTGTAAAACTTGTAGTAATATCATTGAAGAAAACGGATAAAAAAAACCTTCCTAAAGTTACATCTTTCGTTAATTCAAAGAGCATTAAATATTCTATTGTCCTAGTTTATAGTAATATAACTGCACCGTTGTTATTTACAATTGTATTAACTACTAGCTATCGTGTGAGGTTAATTGTCGATATTCCCTCTAACTCTGAATCATGTTAAGTCACTCATATTTGCAGAGATTCAGTGTAGAAATATGCTCAGTGTAGATAGACACAATTAGTGTATTGATAGACACAATTAGTGTATTGATAGACACAATTAGTGTATTGATAGACATAATAAGTGTATAAATAGACACAATTAATGTATTGATTGCTTAACACTCTATACACAATTAGTGTATAGAGTGTTAAGCTTATGAAAGAGGCGTGCCCAAGGCTATATCTCGACACCTCTGTTGTTTACCATGTATATAAACGAATTAGATTCAGGATTGAACTGCATATTTACAGATTTACAGTTGATGCGAATTTTGAGTGAGAAATTAATTCAGCAGAAAACTCGGTTTAAGACGATCTAGAAAGGCTTTTGTTATGGATAATATTGGTAGATGCTGTTTAATGCTGAAGCCAGATAAAGATTATAGAGAAATTGGCTGGGTATTGTTCATATTGGAAAGTCTCAATGTAAACAAAAAAATAATCTTGAGGTCATAATATTATTACATGTATTAGTCATTTAGTATTATTAGTCATTATATATTTATATATAATCATTAGTCATTATATTATTATATGAATTATTAAAATGCAGTAATTATTACAAATCCACAAATCCCATGTGGATTTGTGGATTTGATATCACGTTATTGTGATTTCTGTGTGTAACGAAGTTGACGAAATGTCAGCATAAGTAACATTACGTTTTCCTTAATTAGAAATACAATGCAAATAAGATATCTTGGGCTGGGCAGTAAAAAAGATCGATCTAAAATGTTATCATATGACACCTGAGTGAAAATGCACTCAAGCACAAAATGTCCGCCGGTCACTCATCTTGGAGTTGCACAGGTTAACTGAAGGAGCGATGGCCAATGTCGGAAGTCCTCGAGGTCCACCTTCAGTGAGTACTCTGCCTTGAGAGAGAACCAGGTGGTTTAGACGTTATTATTGTGAGGTGCCGAAGATGGTGGGCGGCCTCATCTGACTGGCAGTCTCTGATGAGTTTAGTGGGCATCCTCCGGTACGGGTTATAGGCAAGGGTCAACCTATCCGTTCTGAAGATGTTATCACTACAGTGAAAGTAAATCTTTTCCCAGTGGTATGTGACCACTTGGTGGGGCGCGACCTTGTCTGTCCCAGGAGAATGGCGGCGGACGGAGGCCACGG